CCCCAAAACCCCAAAACCCCAAAACCCCAAAACCCCGTGGCTCAATTCTCTAATTGAGATACATACCCTAAAATTTAAATTCCAGATAAATATTCACCAAGTTTCCTGAAGTAGTGAAAATAGTGAAGTCAGAGGTCAGGGATGAACTTTTATGCATGAAATAGTATGAAATTATAACTTCTTAGGACCTTCATTGTGATTTTGATTCTTTTTAGGGTCTCTGTGAGGTCCGAAATAGTCCTGGTTAGCCTTGTTGAAGCAGATTGGATGGGAGTTGTTGAGGTTTCTCCTGGAGCTGTAGCTCTTGAGGATCCTATCTGGGGAGGATGATAAAAAGCTTCAGTTTGGATTACCATTTTCTGCAAGAGCACTGCTGCTGGGAAAATTAATTTGGCTATTAGAGGGTTCGAAACAGTTGATGTTGTACTCTCTGAGGCAAAATAGTTTTCCAAATATTCCAATAAGATCTTGGTGAAATGGACTTAGTTGGGTAATAAAATTAGAAGGAGGTTTGGGCTGATGGGAATTATTCTCTACTTGTGTGAATTTATTCGTATAGCGATCAAATTTCATCGTATTATTGTCATTCTTGGATGACAAAATAGTGGAATTACGGTAATGTTGAAATGGGAAAACATATCCAAGTGCATTAACGTTCTTAAATTTTGTATTTCTTTTCTCTGTATTCTGCTGATTTGAGTAAGTTCACTTTATTGATGAATTTTCCCTATAGCTCAAATTATTAATCAATTATTTTAATTTCTCTTCTCCTTTGCTTTAGCATTGAAGGTAATGCTCCTAAAAGAGCAAGTAGCTCTCTTTGGATTGTAATTCTTCTTATTTTTAATAAAAAACATCTTATTTCAATCTTGGTCATTTACTCATAAATTTTCGGAGTTTTAATTAGTATCTAGATTTCCAAGGGAATGGGAGAAATTAGAATTCATCTTGCGAGAACAGTGTGATGATAATTAATAAGCCCTTCTAATCTTATGAAAGAAATTCAATAAAGCTACTGTATTTTTATATATGGGATAGGTTGGCAGCATCTTGAAGTAGATGTAATGAGCCCAAAATTAATTATTCTCTTTAATCACAAAAATAATCAAATCCAGTGTTTAATTATTTGTGTTGTGGCCAATTTTTATAACTAAAAGCTATAAAATGCTCACCTTGGAAGTGTACTAGTATCAATATCTCAGGAAACTCCAGTCTCAATTTTATTAGCTTTGACCATAACAGTTCCTCTGTTGAGGTATACATAATCTGAATTTGAAGAATTAGAAATATCTCTGTGAACTCCATTTTGGTCTTTGAAATATTTATTAGAAGAATGAAGCCTCTGTTCTGAAGACATGCCATAAAATTCTTCATTAACTCTATTTTCTGTTCTGCCTTTGGGAAAATCTCTGACTCTCTTGGCTTCTGAGAGTGTTTGGATGGCTAGAAAAATTATCTAGCATTCTAAAAGTTAATGAGCTGCATACTTTTGGGAGCCCGGCTTTGGCTCATTTTCTTGTTTCACCATGTTCATATTATTATCTATTGTAAGTAATTAGTAAAATGATTTGAAGCGGAGATATGCATTAACTAATAATAAAATCATAGTATTTATTGCTTTGGTTATCTAGCACTAAGCTAAAGGTATAGATAGTTCTTTGTGATAGGAAGCTCTGCAAATAAAAATAAGAAATAATGTAAATTATTCACATATCTTATAAATTTAAATGACATCGAAGATTAAAGTGGTTTAATTTTTCTGAAATTTCTTACTATTTTTCTCGAGACCTCTAATATTTCAAAACTTGTTAATTTAAGTCATTTTGGATAAATTCGATTGGATTTTCTGTCCCATATTGCTTCTTGATACTATCAAAGTAGTTCTGTGCATGACTTCTGATTTGAATCGATGTCCTTGTTGGCACTCATGTCTCCAATTTGCTCCAATCTTTACCATATTTCATAAGGCCTAAAATTATCGAAATAATATACAGTCTACAAACAACTTATGCTCATGCCTCTTCCACCGTCCTGTGACTTTTTGCACTCTCCTATTGTCTATAAAACATCAATATTAGCCATCTGTAGGCTTGCCTACGAGATTATAGATGAAAAATCTTATGATATATCGGCAGTATTTTTAATAATTTTTGGGATTTTGTAAGCCATCTCCAATAATTTACTAATAGCACTGCTAATAATCTTCATAATTTTTCATACTCAAAACTTGTGCTAACTAAGCCAGGGGGTCTCTCAGTGGGGAGAAAAATAGTAAAAACTAAGATGTTAATTTAGCCGTGGTTATAACATACTCTTAGAAAAGTTTGTTTTACACCTTTTAGAAAATTACCCTACCACCTCTGATGGAAAAAATGAGGCTTGAAGGCTGATCAAAGACACTAGTGAAGGCAGTAGCTTTATTTAGTGATATTTTGCACACGGAATTTAGAACTAGCAATGAAATTATAGGGTCATATCGCCATTATTCCAGAGACATTTCGGGAAATCGGTGATTTCTAAAGCTAGGTTGTTGTCACAGAAAAGTCTTGAGAGAGAGGTGATCGAGGTCTATTCCAACCCTGGATGCACGAAATCTTGATAACATGTCCCTGAAGTACCTTTTGTAGTCTTTTCTTCCTCCATTTTTGATATTCTGAATGATAATATTTTTATATCAATTATAACTTAGTGACACGGGGTTTTGGGGTTTTGGGGTTTTGGGGTTTTGGGG